ATGCAACCAACTGCATTTTACTCCAATGAAAGAACTGATTGTTTCTGTATACGGTAAATCAGAAACTAGGGGTTTCCTGTTCATTCTTATCACTTTGCGGGAGGCTTCTCCTCCACTGACCCTTCCTCCACCCTTCATCAGCACGTAATGCAACCTCTTCCTGGAGCCACGGGCCCCAGCAGAGACTGGAGAAGGTAGAAGGAGAAGGAGATGAGCAGGAATCTGTAGTCCAGGGCCCGGGGCAGGCAGAAGATGCCATGAGCAATTTGAAAACAATTTGCTGACAAACTCTTATTTTAAATCGCATCTAATTTAGCCACCTGTTGGAAACAGGGATGACAGCCAACAAGAGGAGGAGAGGGGGACACCCTGATTTTCAGAATCAAATCATATAATTTTAAACTGGAAACTTGTGACATGATGAAAAGCTAAAAAAAAAAAAAAGCAGAAAGTGATATACACAACCACACCACCCTATTAAGTGTGCGAACTCAAAATTGGGGATGAGATAGTTAACAACAATGAAGGAAGCATGTGCGTGCCTCAAAAAACAGCTGTAGAGGAGGTGCACTATTAACACATATCTTGGGAGTACTGGCTTTATTTTCTTCAGTATATTTTTTTTCTGGTACTGGCAATTGAACCCCCAGGGGTGCTTAACCACTGAGCCACATCCCCAATCCTTTTTTATATTTTATTTATAGAGAAGGTCTTTTTGAGTTGCTCGGGGCCTCACTAATTTGCTGAGGCTGGCTCTGAACCAGCAATCCTCCTCCCTCGACCTCCCTAGCTGCTTGGATTACAGACGTACACCACCGTGCCTGGCTGTTTGGTAAATTTTTATATACTTCAGACAGTTTTTCTTTAGTGAACATGTATTATTTTGATCATGCTAACAAATAAAAGTTACGAAGTAAATTTTCACCTATTGATGGACTTCAACCCGCATTTCCTTTTTTTCTTTCTCTTAACCTGTGTCTCATTACAACATTTCACAGTGTCATGAAAAAGGACCCTGAAGAGGTCCCCTTCCTGAGGGTTCCCGTCCTGCCTCAGGAAGATACAATATTATTGTCCCCTTTTTTCAAAAGGGGCCATGAGCTGAGCAAGGTGAGGTCCTGTGCCGACGTCTGTGGGGAGTCAGTCTCGGGGTGGTGAGGCCTCAGTCTTCCTTACTCTGGGAATGTGCCTGTTAAGTCAGCCCTCCCCACAACTTAGGCAATAAAGAGTTCTCCCTGAGTTAGCACAATATCTAAGATGACAACATTGTTAGTTCTTCAACATCCTATTAAAATCAGCATTTCATTTTCAGTATCAGAGAGAATGCTAGAACCTGCTGTGGCGATAGGCAAAGGTACAACTTATGCAGTCGACGGGAGAAATAAATAATGTCCACGCACTTCTGTCCTCATCAATGTTTCATTCACTAAAATCACTCAATACAATTAACTCAATAGGTTCTGAATCAAGAAAATGACAATCCTTAATGCTGGGCACTGCAATAGACATAATCGATTCAAAGCAAACAATTCTAAGTTAACTCTAAGCACTGCAAACACACTTAATCCTGACAGACTCGTTACAGACATTCTCTCTGAAGGCTAAACTAGAGTCACAAGCCTTAGGCCTTAAGTCCAGCAGATGCACACTCACTCAGACCAGGTCAGGAACTGATGGAGGCTTTTCCTGCTGTGGAGTTGACGGCCGGTTGAAGAGACGGTTGTAAGAAGTTGCTGTTCTCACCAGGGTCAAGAGGCTGCTGTAGAGTTTGAGAGTGGTGAGGATGATACAGAGGGTCAGGCAGATGATGAGAAGAGATGGGATGTCAGTCCAGGTCCTCATCAGGCTCTCCAGCATGTGGGCATCAGTGTTGGCTGGCTGAATGTGGATCCATTTGCTCCATCATTTATACTAAATGTTGGGGGCTTCTGACTGTCCTTTGGGTCCCTATGAGCTGTTACCAGGGTTCTCAGTGTTGTCTTACATTATAGAGTCAGGACATATGGTTTAGTGATTTCTGCCCTGATCTTACACCTCTGATTCTTATCAGGGTGAAGGCAAATGACATGTGACTTCACCCTGACTCTTATCAGGGTTGTGGAAAGTGGTTTGTCTTTATCAGGCTATGCCTGATTGACATAGTGGAGTGCTCTGTAGGCTGCTGCCTGGTGGGACTGCAGGTTTATATAAAATGGAGTTGCTGAGGCTAAGGTCATCCTTACACCTGCCCCTTCAGATCCCTGAAGGCCTGCTGGGGCCACTTCCAGATCCAGGAGCCCAGGCTGGTGCAGTGGTATCCAGGTCCCAGCCAGACCTGGCCCCAGGTGTGATCAGAGCACTGGCACCCAGGTTCAGGCCAATTCTGTGGGATTGCTGCCCCCTCCAGCCCAGAGGCACGCCCATTCACCAGATCCAAATGTGTCTGCTCAAAAGTCGCCTGCTCAGGGAGGCCTCCCCTGGGGCCCTTGCTTCTGGCAGCTTCCTCCTGCCCACATTTCGTCCCCTCTCCCCTGGCTTATTGTGCTCCAGGGCCCTTCCACCAATGAAATGCTGTGTGCCCATTTGTATTATCTGTCCCCAACCAGAAAGCATGTTCTGTTCACTGATGTGTCCCCAGGGCCTGGGACAGGGGTTGGCATGTGGCAGGTGACAGTAGGCATTTAGTGAAGAGAAGAAAGGAGGGAGGGAGCCTGAAGATCCTGCCTTCCCAGAGCTGCTGCCAGGGACTGCGGCGCCTTCCCAGATGGCCACACGTGTCCTTCCTGCACTCCCCTAAGCCCCTGCTTCTCTGTCCTTCCTGCAGTGTCCTCAGTCCCTGTGTGGCACACAACAAACAGCAGTGCCAGGTGAAGATGCAGACACCTAAATGCCACCTTGGGAGGCAGCTGCCTTCCTTCCATGGTGACCCAGGAGGAACCAGGTCTCAGTCAAATGCCCAGCCGGTTCACGCAACGTGGCATGAGAATGTTCAGGGGTGGGAGTGGGTTGCCACAATAAGATTTTTGCTCTGACCCAATTTTCCCAAAACAGTACTATTTATGGTTGGAATAGCTAAGATGCTGAGCAGCTTATTTTGTGTAAAATTTAACTTCTCAACAATTATTGTAAGAAAAATATTATAACATTTTTATAACATTGAATAGCGAAGGAGCTGGAGACTCCAAAGTGTGTGTGTCTGGGTGGGGTAGTCAGGGCCAGAGCTGCTGAAGAAAGCATTGATAAGCTAGGACCGCACCAGGACACGGACACTGCAGCAAGCACAGTGTGAAGGACCACGGAGTCCGAGGACAGGACAGACTGGCCCTGAATCTCGTGGATGGCAGAGTGAACAGCAGGATCTAGGTAGCAGGGTCACAAGGGCCACAGCCTGCCTCCTGCTCCCAGGGACTTATCAGAAGGGAGGGAAAACCTGGGTTTTGAAGTGGATGAGCTATTCAGACTTCTTTTGACTTAATTTCATGAATCCCTCTGGGGGGAGTGAGGTCTCCAAGGAGACCTCATAGGAACGTAGAGATTCATTTTCGGTCCGTAAAATGTATTAGCTGTAGTTATTTTCGACTGTGTAATATTCCTTTCTCTTGATGCCTATTATTTTTCAGCTGTGGCCAAATTTGACTGACTTTATTCTATGACTTAATTGCATTGAAGACCGTCAGGAAAACTCAAAGTCTCTCTATAAGGCCATCTATGGAGGGATAGAAATCTTCCTGCTTAAATAATGCACAAGTCTCATGTATGTCTAATTTGACCCTCCCAGCAGCCCTCCAAACTAAGCAGGGCAGATGGTGTTCACTTTTTTAGACAAGGAAACTAAGTCTCAGTGAAGCTAAGTGAATTGCCCCAAATCACAGTATAGGGAGCAAGTCCCAGCTCCCACCTGCTTCCACCCACAGCCTGATGTTTGTCGTCATGACCAGGTGTGGACCCGGCTGGTCTGGGGCACTCCACATACAATAGTAGCCCAGAAGCCATTCCTATTGGACATGGTGACCAACACACCACAGTGGTCTCAATAAGTAAGCATATTCAGATTGAAAAAGACTTTCTTGCAACCCCTTCTCACAGCCCCTGACCTGGCATCCACTAGGTCATCTCATCCTTTTCCCTGTTTCATCCGCAGGATATGGAGCTAGACATATGCTCTCGTAGGGGCATCCTCTCTCCAATTTCTGTTATACACAAGACTCAGAGCAGAGAGCAATTCCTTGAGATAATGGGATAATTTGTACTACAAGCCAATGATCCAGTAGAGAGAACGCTCCTGTTAGGGGAGCACTAATTTTACAAACATCAGCTATCCCTAGGTATGGCACAATGGGATTCACAAACATTTAAGTAGAAGGCAACATGCTAAGCACGTTATACGTAAGCATTATTTAAGTGAGGTCATGAACTATCTAAAGAGAAGTCAGGCCCTCAGGAACTTCACAAGCTAATGACGGACTCCTAACGATACTAGAGACGCAATCGAGGCAGGATGGATGGAGTGCTATGAAGAGGCATCCCAGGGTGAGTGTGGGAATTAGAAAATGGGGCAAATCTGCAGGTGAGGAATAAGGGGAAATTTTCAAAAAGAGGAGAGGCAGGGTGTGGGCATTGAAAGAGGAATAGAATCTCAGCAGCTTCTTCCCCCTGGGAGCAGCTACATGCTGAAGGAAATGATGCCCTCAGCAGGATTTAGGGATGCTGGTGGCCTCTCTCCCCGAGAGGGCTCGAGGGTCACACCTGCCCAGCCGGCCACCAGCACACTGTCAACCTTTGCTTCTGCTTTCAACTCCCAACTGTTCCATGAAATGCCTCCAGCAGGCAGAATCCCCCTTTCTCCCCATAGCAAATACCCACGGAATGCCAAAGCTAGTAGGTTGGCCCCTGCTCTGAACACCTGCCAGTCCAAGACAGAAGAGCACCAAGTTGCCCAGCCAGCCCCACCCCCACCAGGGAGTCTGGAGAGTATATAAAGCCAAAGCTCCAGGATTCCAGCAGCCGAAAGCCCTCCCACCATGGGCACTCTCACCTTCCTCCTTTGGCTGCTGCTCTTCCAAGCCGTTATTCTACCTGGAGCAGGTACTGCAGATAAGGCGCCAGGTGCTTTCGTTCCTGCCTTGTTACAAGCGGGACGTCCAGACACAGGGAGCTTTTGCTCTGTTTAATGCCACCCAGCCACTGATAAGATGTTGCTGCAGCGATGACCCATTGTCATAATCAATTTTAGGGCAGTTGGGTCAGATATTTTCTGTAAGTTTTGCTTTCTGTGAGCAAGTGTTTGCTGGCTTATGGCTCTTGTAAAATGGGCTTATTGCTCTTGTAAAAATGCCCTATTATAAGAGCAATAAGGATTCTGGGGGAAATAATGAAGGAATACTTGGCTGTGGGACAATCCAGCATGGGTTTTACAAGTGTCCTTTGGCTTCTGTATTGATATTTGACCCAAGCGGTATTGCAATCATGACTTCTTATTGTTGCTGAATGGAGATGGAAATGTAAAGTAAAAAAAAAATCTTAGCTTGAAACACTGACATTTCGTAAAATTATTTGGAGTTGATTTATGCAGGCTTCTAATCTGAAAATCTGTACCTTCTCTTAAAACTAGATTAGTTAATTTAATATTCTTGACTTTAATGTATATTTCTCATCTAGTTCTCTAAAGGAAATATTAATTTAATTTGGAACTAATTTAAAATATCTGCACAATTCTGATTATTTCATTATTATTTTGTGGTTTCATGGGGGGACAAAAAAAAAAAGAAATATTCTTGACCAAAAAATAGCTTGAATATAATTCTTACTATTTGTAAAGAAGAAATATAACTCACCAGTCATAGAACAATGTTTGGGCCTAAAGTTTATATTAAAACCCTTTTTTTATTCTGCAAGTAATTGCGTGGATATATTTATGTTTAATATTCCAATATATTTATTAATTTATACCAGGGTGTTAAGAAGGATTTAAGTGATGTCTTAAACCTTTTGGGCCTCCTTTCTCATTTGGATGTCCTGGGAGTGCTGAACCCAGGGATATGGGCTGGGCCCTAATTGGGCCCCTTCTGGTCCCATGAACTTGGATAAGTTTGCAAGCTCTCTATGTTGAATATTCTCCCATGAAAAAAAGGTCTGATACCTGGGATTGTAAAAGGGACTTAATGAAATAATGTCTGTAAAATACTTGGAAGAGTGCTTCAGACATAGAAAACGCTCAATCGACGTAACTGTTACTATAGACATTGTATATGACAAACTGAGTATCTTAAACCAAGACAAGATAAAAATAGGGACTCTCAGCTTCAGAGAATAACATTTAACCATAATGTCTCCATTCCCCCTTTGAAACCAAGAAATTTTCCCCTTTCAGTATTTCAGTAAAAAGTTTCAAGCAATAGATTCGATTTTAAAAACAAAGAGCAGGAGGGAAATTTTTTTTTTTTTTCTCAGTGAATCTACACATGCAGGTAAGTACTCTGGGGACATCTGTCCTATACCAAGTGTGCCTAGAAACCAGTGGGGCTTGCTGGAGTATGACAGCTTGTGGAAATTTCTGAAAGAATTCAAAATTCACATTCATTGTATTTGTTAACTTGTGGCAAAGACGACGCTGAGTGCTCCAAGTGACCAAGTGTTGGCTGTAGGGGAGCTGCTCGGGGCGTGGTATATGTGTCTCGGTCCAATCCAGAAGGAGTCCCAGTGAACTCCGCCCCCACAGCTGCCCTGAGCTGCTCTTGCAAAGTGGAACTGGACAGTGGCTTAGTCTGTTTGGGATCAATGACCAGAGGGTTTAGGATAGATGTCACGGTAGGAAATGGAGAGAATTTCAAGTCTGGATGAGTTCAATGATTTCTGGAAGCTCTGAAAAAAGTGGCCCCAAATTCAGGGATTCTCCTGAGGCTGCCTCGGACAGCTACCTGATAATGTATCAGGAGTGGCAGAGAGTGGGCCCCTGGGACCAAGGATCAGCCTCAATGCCAGGCCCTCAGCCCCCACCTCCCGTCACACCAAAATGCCAAGTTCCAATGGAAAAATCAGCCCCAGTGAAGGCTGCATGGTCTGAGCGGGCACTTGGCATCCAGTTACACTAATGTTCACTTCTTCTCATCCCTGCCTTATTCTGCTTTCCCTGAAACTCACCAGCTTTCTGCCAGCAGCATGCGAGGGCACCACTGTTCTGCTGAGACCAGTCCTCCGGACCGTCCCCTGCACAGTAAAGGGCTCTGCACCCACAGCTGAAGTAAATGAATGGAAAAACAATGAGCAAGCGTGTCACACCCTTGACTGGTCTCTGCCCATGAGACCCTTTCAAAGAACAGGAGCGAGGATTATGAGCTTGTGAGTTGGTTTCCAGAGCTGCTACAGATCTTAGGATATTTGAGAGGCTCAGCTGATCTTGCAGACATCATTTGCAAGTCTCTGTTCTCAATGGGGCCATTTTCTCCCTGGTTCTTGGGTGCCTCCTTTATCTCGGCCCCTTTGCCACCTCCCATCCATGCCACACTCTCCCCACAGCTCTCCCCAGGAGGTGTCAGTCACCCTGTGGGTTTCTGGTGGGGGTAATCTTGAGTTTCCGGGAGTTCAGGATTAGTGACATGATATGGCCCAATAGGCTTTGTCAGGCTCCTGGTGCCAGTTGCATAAGAGCCTCACAGATAATGAGGCCAGTGTGACCTTCCAGGGACAGCCACCCCAGGGACACACTGCAGGTCCCACAATACTGGAAGGGATTGGAGGAATTTGCAGACAGTTGCAGCTTGGTTGATATTAGCACAATTCACATGAAAACTGGGGACAAAGGGCAACTTGTTGATCACTGTAGAAACAAAGGCTGTTTCTCAGAATGTGATTGCAGACTGGGGCAGCATTTATTGATCAACGCAATCCAAGTTAAATTGCTAAACAGTCTAAAACCCCATTAGCCAGCAACGCTCCATGGTGGGGCTGCCTCCTGCCCCCATGCCCACACCCACGTACCTCTCTGCCCTGCCTCTGCTCCCTCAGACCCGCCTTCCAGCCCTGCTGCCAAGGTCAGATGGCTACTCCTGGGTGTGCTCAGCTGTGTCCCATGTATCTCTGTCACTCACTCAGTGGGAGTCCCACCACCCTGCCCTGCTGACAGCACTGAGGACCAGCACTCACACATACGCACGTACTCACACACTCACACATGCACTCACACACTCACACATATACTGACACACTCACACACACTCCCATATAAATCACACTCTCACCACACACACTTTTGCACTCACTCTCGCAAGCACACTCTCACTCTACACATTCATCACACTCACACTCACACACTCCCCAAACAGGTCCAACTTGTTTCATCCATTCTTTCCCCCTCCTTCAGGTCCCAAAAGAAGCACCGTTGTTATCCCCTGTCCCCAATGCCACCCTCCTCGTGGAGTTATCAGTTAGTCTTAAACCTTTCAGGGCTCTCACCTCACACTTACAATTAGCACCCCCAGGCCCACAAAACCAAACACGCAGGACAACGTATTCCCATCCCCAGGCCGCCTGGCCTTCCTGCGCAGGAGGGGCTGGGCAGCCCTGGGGGTGTGGGGGCTTCAGGCTGGGGTGCAGGGTGCTTGTGCCCTGCTGTGCCCTTCTTAAGATTGGGGGAATATTGACTTTCCACATCGGAGGCCGCACTCGGCTCTGAGCCCCTGCCCAGCCCTCCCCTGTCCACAGCCAGACGCTGGCCTGCTTTCCCTTCCTCACCTCTTCATGCCATGCCTTATCCGCGTCCTTCAGATTTAGCCAACCCAGTTTTTAAGGCCTTCTGACATCCCGTGCCATTAATTCACTCTCTGACCATGAGAGAGTGTCCGATTCCATCCAGGTCCTGTGCTGGGAGGACAGTCCACTCTGTCCATCCAAGGCCCTCCACCTGGGCTGCGGAGACAAGACACAAGCTCGCTGGTGGGTACCACGTCTTGATCTCCCAAGACGTGGATCATATCTTGACTCTTGAGTTTTCAAGACACCACCTAGCACTTGGCTCCAATGTGCTCAGCCACGTTGGTTAAACAAACTGGACGTTACGATTTGGGGAGGTGGGGCTTTCACTAGGGAGAATTCTTAGAAAATGCTACAGAGGTTTCTGAGTTGAGATTCGTCCTGTCTGGATGGCCAGGATGCCATGTCTGTGTGCAGGGTTATGACATTCCTGGGAATTTTAGTAGCTCTAGAGGGGTCCCGGAGCTGGGAAGGGCAAGCTTCCTTCTGAGGGAGAGAGAGCAGTCTGCCCATGAGAGCAGCTGGAAAAGAAGCAGGGAGCTGATTTTGGAGGGTTCTGGAATCCAGGATAAGAACTCTGGTCTTCGCCCACCACGATAGCAGCAAAATGACATTACGATGGCTTTTTCAGATGAGTAGGCGGGTGGCCTGGAGGAGGTGGGGAGAGACTGCATTAGTGAAACTGGCCAAAACAGTGGCAAGTGTAGTCCAGGCACAAAATGTTTAAAAATCCTAGCTCAGGGCGGCTAGGGTGGGTTTAGGCAAAGCAATACAGATTCGGATTTTTTTTTTTTTTTTTGAGTGACATTCTGCAATCTAAGTCACCTTGCTAGGCCTGAGCAGCACACGCCAGGTTTCTCTGATAATCTAATGAGACAAAGGGTTTGGAAGGGCTTTGAAAATGCTGAGGCTCAATGTAGACATGGGATCTAATGTTCATGCAAAGGAATGGGTCAAAGAGACACTGGACAGAATCGCTCTGACATGCTGGCAGGATGTGAGAGGTGTGGAAGGAGAAGAATCAGAGACGCTGTCCTGAGGGGAATGGGGCAGGAGAGCACGTGAGAGCCAGACGGCTCAGTGGCCCAGTGTCTAGAGCCTGGAACCAAATCCCAGCCTGGTCTCTTTCCAGCTGCGTGTCTGGGAGAGCTACTGTCTGTCCCCTGCTTGCAGCCCAGACCAGGCATCTGGCCAGACAGACATGTGAGCTGAAGGGCAAATGGATTCGTGTTACAAACCCACCAAAGGGGCATTTTTGGAGGATAGTACTTATTTGTAGGTAATGACAATGTTATATGGCAGCTATTGCACCCTCCAGGAAGAGTCAGGAACCAGTTTTAAAAAAAAAGACTGCTGTGTTTATGTGATGTTGAGTATAAATACCTCCTCTCTTACCAAGGATAACATAAAATTAATTAACTAAGGTTAAATAGCCTCTGAAAAGAAAAAAAAAAGTGTGTAATGAAAATACAAAAATAATAGCCATAAAAATTGTTGTGCAAAGATAAACCCAGGGAGATATTAGAAAACATAGGAAATTAACTAAAAAGCATGGCTGAATTTCTGTGTAAATCCTAGCTTATTAAAGAAAATGCTTTAAGATTAACCATGGATCGCTGAAGCTGCATAATAAAGTGCACTACTGGCAAATAGTTGGCATAACTTACCTGATTAAAGCAAGAGATGTAGGACAAGAATCCTCCAAGGCAAGGGCTTAAGGTAAAGCAACAGCGGAACATGGGTTCCACACTTGGCCGTACAGAACAACCTCTTGGATTGTTGAAAATTCAGATTTCCGGGCCCCGGTCTGCTGAGCCTGAGTGTCCGTGGGTTTGCAGCTGGGCCCAGGAAGCTGCTTTTGGGGCGGGCTGTGGTCAGCATCCCTGCTGGGTCTTAATGAGGCTGGTACATCTCAGTTTGCTACAGGAGGGACACCAGAGGATCTGGAGGAAGGCTGGGGAAGGGACACCCTAAGGGAAACCCCATCAAAGGCACGTCTGTGGAGCAGCAAGGTGAGTCCCAGCCAGACAGCCCCCTAGGCCTGCAGGAGGACAGAATGAGGGTGGGCAGGATCTTTAGGACGGATACTATGAAAGCCTTTGGAGAGTGATGGTTCCTGCTCAGCAGAAGTAAGAACAGCTCAGTTTTATTTCTGCTTAATAAGACAGGATGCTATCAGACCTTTATCTACCTTCATGATTTTAATAGGTTAAGCCTGTCTTAAGGGTCTCTATTTTTGGCGTTCTTATATGAGGGGGGTGTGTGGACATCACCCCCAGGTCTTACTGAACGTGCAGAATCCTGGTCCCAGCTCTGAGATGTGGGCACCCTCCAGATTGTGCATGATTACAAGCCTCCCCAAGATGTGCACGACAGGGGCCATGTGAGGGTCACACGTTGAAAGCACTGTCCTGTGGCCACAGGAAAGAGGAGAGACAGCAGGGACCCAACCAGGGCTCTGTAGCAGTGAGCCTTGGGAATTGGTAACTGTCCCTTGATGGATCTAATTACCAGTTTGTAGAATGGAGGTTAAAAAAAATTGTCAGCTCCAAAGTGCTCCCTCAGCTCCAGGCACTTTGTATTTGCCTCACGAATCCCCTGTGAGGCAGGTGCCCTTCTTATTTACAGATGGGGGAAAGAGCTCAGGTGGCCCACAAATCACATAGTTACTGGCCGAGCTGAGAAGCAAACTTGGGTGCCTGTGACCACCACGTGGGAGCCCCACCCTTGGCACCTTGCTATCCACTAGCCCAGCAGGCCTTGCCTGCCCCTGAGGTCCCTGAGAGAACCAGGAAAATATGCCCAGCAAAGTCCTCCGAGAGGTGAAATGTAGGTCCAGGCGGCAGGCGAGGGCAGCAGTGTCTTTGGGAATAATGCACGGCACCCTTGATGTGAGGCTGATGACAGCAAAGCCAGAGCGAGCCTAGATCCACGAGACAGGTCCCAGGCTAAACCATCAAGGGCCCAGAGCTGGTATTCTTGTCAGAGCAGGCGGGAGGTTCCAGCATGAAGTGCTTCTGAAAAGAACAGAGCAAGGCCCTGTGACATCTCACCATGCCGTGGTCTCAAATGGTCCATGGACAATGCCACCCAAACAGGGGGACCCTATGGAGCTCTCATGGGGTCCCTTGCTGCCCCTCACTAACAGTGAGACTCCAGGAGGCTGATGCCATTGTCAACTTGTTTCTTCCCATGGTAAAACGGGGACAATAATGCCCACAGGCAGTTATGAAATTTAAGAAGATGTCCATTGTCAAGGGCATAATCTAGCCAGAGCCAGCGGTGGCGGGGAAGGTGGCGGGGAAGATGACTTCATTCACAAACACTGAGGTGGGGGCGGGGACTGCCTTTCTCCCAAAGACTGGCTTGTTGTGCAGCTCGTGGAAGGTTCTGGAAGGTGCTCTGGCCGAGTGGAGGTGTACTTCGAAGGCATGTGGGGCACGGTGTGCGATGACCTGTGGGATGAGAAGGCAGCGCAGGTGGTGTGCCAGCAGCTGGGCTGTGGGATGGCCGTCTCCGCCCCTGGAGGGGCCTACTTCGGCCAGGGCTCTGGCCCCATTCTTCTGGACGATGTGCAGTGTTCTGGGACCGAAGCCCACCTGGGGCAGTGCTCCCATGCCGGCTGGTTTACCCACAACTGTGGGCACGGGGAGGACACTGGTGTCATCTGCTCCGGTAAATTGCTTTCCATCTTTCCTGAGAGTTGATTTTTTCTCTTTGTCCAATATCATTCCCTGAGTCTCCTCCTTTCTCCCCAACACAAGAGAAGGCCTTTGTGACTCACCACGTCTGCTTGAGACCTCAGCTAGCTTCCCGAGAAAGCCGCTCCCAGGAAGCTTCCCTCTGTGGTGTTCAGGAAGCAGCTGGCCACCCTGTGTCACCCCAGTCCTTTTCTGTCTGCTTGAGAAGCCAATTGCAGTTACTTTGGAGAAAACGCTAGATTTGAAATGAGAAGACCCAGGTCAGGCACATGACAGGCTACATAGTCTGTGGGTCCCAGTGCAAGACGAAAATGAGGGTTCCCTTGTTCAAGAATTATGAAGAATCTCAGGACAGTGACAGGGGAGCATTAACGGCAGGGCCCTTCCAATCGCAGACTCAGTGGGGCCACCCCCATGGGTATCCCTCTGGGACCCTCCCCTAACCCCTCTTTTCCTTGCCTTAATGTGGTTCTTTGCAAATCACTCAGCCCTTTTCTAACCAAGAGGGAATGATTGTCACAACGATAATCACATTGCCTTCCCCGGGCTGCCATGAGGCCGAGTACTGGTAATTCTGGTCCATTAACCTGTCAGTCCACAGCCTGAGAGCAGGCTGCCAGTGACACTGTACCTGCACCTTCTGCTTTTTGAGGTAATCAACGTCCTAGAGATGGCACAGCCGTATCTCTGATTAGCTGACTTTGGATGAAGGCGCAGGGGCAGAGTCAGGAGGAAGAGGAGGGGGTAAAGGAGGAAGGCCCCTCTTTGCTCCCCAGCTGCTAACTCCTGTTGAGAGCCTTCTTCTTGAGCCTCTCAAATTCAGCATATAGGGAAGCAGGATCTGAGGCATCAGCCAGTGGCCAAGACCTAAATACTCAACCAGTATGTATTTCAGAAGGCTTTGAGATCCAGCAGTGAGCAAAATGACCCTGCTCTGGGCTTACAGCCCCCTCCACGAGCCAGCTCCCATCCCAAGCAGCAGACTCCCATCTTGGTGACTTCGGGGTCAGGAGCCCTGCCTGGCTGGGCCCTTTCCTACTGAAGACAGCACAGTTGTAGGAGCAGGTCCAGGGGGTGGAGGAGCGCTGCGGTCCATGAACCCTGCCTTCCCAAGGCCTCTCACCATCTTGCACCTTCAGCCCCTCCAGCCTCCTGGACCCCAGGCCCTGCCTTAGAGTTTGACTGTGCCAGATACTTCCCAAAGCCCCTCCTGTGAGTCCTCAGCCTTGCCTCACCTGGCTAAAGGTGCCCCAAGCAGCCTGGGCGGGCAGAAGGAGGATCTGCCACTCTCCAAGCATCTTCTTGGGCCGGGCTCCCTGGAAGGAAACAGTCCAGTTGGCAAATTATAAATACATGTCTGACTTCAGAGGATGTAAGAGTATGTTTTGAGTATATTCTTGCAGTTAATAGATTAATCAGTTCTGGTATTTCTCAAATAGATGCCCCAAACAGCAGAGCCCAAGTTTGCTTGCCCTAAGCAGAGACTGTCTTTGAAATCCTATTATCTATAAAAGTCCCTTCAGAGTTTCTCTTTCAAATTGCAATAAAACCACATTTATTTTAATATGAAAACAATGCTTTAGGTACTCACATCAAGTAGCATTAGCCCTTTAGGAAAACACCTGCTTAGCCTGTGGGGCTTTCAGAATTATTATTCCTCATCGATTCAAGTTACATTCCACTTTTTTTTTCTTTTTCGTAGAATATGAACATGAAACTTTGGAAGATTTTGGTAAGAGTCACACTTTAGTATGTCTTCAGCAGAGCATCCACACATGCCCCAGTGCTCTGTGTTAACCAATGTAACCCACTGCAGGAGGCAGGGGAGGGGCAGGAGACAAACAATTGGATGTGATCAAAGGGACATGACAAATGAAAGGAAGAGAAGGTGGATCCCCTGCCTTTAACCATGCAGTAAATATTTTCTCTCCCAACTTGTTTGTTCCTGTCCAACTGTATTTTAGAAAATTGCGAAGTGAGGATATGAATGTGGTTTAGTAAATTAACATTCAGAGATGTCATCGAACTTGGATTAGACTAAAGAAAATCCTGACTTCAGATAATGTGTTGGAAAGGCGGTGAGCGTGGCCTCAGGACACAACATTCCTCTCTGTCCCTTTGGCAGATTCAGAGATTAATGGAGCAAAGTGTGTCCTTTTGTCACCAGAGTCCCAGGCCAGAGGCTTGATTCTGAGAGTCCCAACAAATTAGGTCTGGCCATTGGCCCCCAAAACCAAAAGGAAGAAGTATGGTGAAGAGCAGGAAGGGAACTTTAATCAGTATGGCTGTCCTGGAAGGCAAATTCAGATCAAGCATCTCAGCCCTGACTTCATGGCACTGATATGAGCTTCAGGTTTACATAGAGGAAGAATTGGGGTGGGGTGAGAGATCTGAAAAACTGAGCAGTCTTAGTCTGTGTCAATATCTCAGTTCAGGTTCTGCAAGGTGGCTCCAGAGAAGTCCTCATCTGCACCCCTGAGGATGTAATCTCCCTTTGCTGCTCACTGTGTTGAGCTATGAGACCTGTGATCCTGAAGGGGACAGTTTAGTTCCTATGAGATGACTGCTCCTGCTTTGGAAGACAGTCTTATCCTGAGATGAGCTGCCTGAAGGCCTGCGCTGTTCCTGGAAGGTGCAGGGCACTGACCAGGCACCACCCAGGAGTCTAGAAGAGAAGGCTAAAGAGCTGGCAGTTGAATGTCCCTACAAATCTTGAAAATGCCTCAGTTACTCTTATCTTGGTGTCCTCAGTCTTGAAGGGGCATGAGACAGGCTAGGTGAATTTAGGGCAATGGACCTTGTAACACCAGTGTTTACACGAACGCGCCTTAAATGAATAGCATGCCTGCGAGCAAAGTCAACAAGAATCCGGCTCCAGCACACGGCAAAGGGCCAGATACAGAATGCAGGCAGAGTTGCCAGGCCACCACCCTTCCTTGAGTTACCTACTGGCATCTGCAGGCCCCAACGAAGAGTCAGTACTTTAGGAGAAACAGCTTCCGATCCTCTCTTGTGCTTTCTTACTAACCTGAGTCCTCCAGTATACTCCAAAATTCTCCTTTCTTGAAGGCCCTCTGTGAGTGCCACAGGAGTACAATTCCATTAGCACTGGACCCTTTTGCCTTTCTGGCAGAAGGGACATTTGCACAAATAACCCAGTTCTAAAAAGCAAGCTGTAAATGACTCCAAGCTGCCTAAGCATAATAAATTTCTCACCTGATGAAAACCTACTGAATATACTTCCCAAAGCACGTTGTTAGCCCAACATCGATTCCACCACACACATGCTGATACTCGCCCAGCAAACTTGTGTACACTATCCTGCCGGCCAACGATACCTTATTTATTTCTCTTTGCTCTTAGATGCTGAAATCTTAACACCGTTCCCTGGTGGTGAGTCAAGGTTTTCTGCCCCCATCCTTGTGTGATGTGGCTTGGTGGGTCACATGCTTCTAAGTGGCGGTAGACTCCAATTGTGCAAATACTGCCAAACAGAATGATTTCACTGAGGGTCCCTGTGAATTCAGCTCTTCATACAACTCTGTGGGCTTTGATTTGTTTTGTTTAATGCACTGAGGAAGACTGTCCCCTTGGTGTCCTCAGTCTTGAAGGGGCATGAGATAGGCTAGGTAAATTTAGGGCAATGGAATTTGTCCCCTTAACTCTTTCCTATCCCTTTCAAGGCCCTGGACCCATGGTCACCTCTTAGAAAGATATCCCCCCACACCCCACTATGGACATCCTTAAAACACAATGGATATCCTCCCTCCTTTGCTTCCTGGAGCTTGATGTAGTTGCAAATCTCCACTTAATTTTAGATTAACGTGTCAATCACCTCCAGACTCTCAAACTAGATTTTGATCTCTTTGACAGCGAGGACCAGGCTTCTTCTCTTAAACACAGGGTCCACAGTGCTATGCACCGTGACTCAGCATAGGCACACTAAATGCACATGGGTTCATGCAGAATATGTTCCTTCTCCTAAAATGCAATATTTTTGCATCTTCAAAAGACTGGCCACAGTTGCAACTCATGAATGGATCAGGCAGATGCTCTGGGAGACTGGAAGTTTTCTACCATGGCCAGTGGGGCAGGGTCTGCGATGACCGGTGGGACCTCAATGAAGCCCAAGTGGTGTGCCAGCAGCTGAGCTGCGGACCCGCCCTTGCAGCCCCCATTGAGGCACAATTTGGTGAAGGCAAAGGCGAGTTTCTGCTGGATGATGTGGACTGTACCGGAAAAGAGAGTTTTCTGGGACAGTGTCCACATGCTGGCTGGCATCTGCATAACTGTGGCCCTGGAGAAGACGCCAGTGTCATCTGCACAGGTAATGGCACCGCTGCCTGCAAAGTGCACATCTCATTATCTGGCTGCACCTTCACTACCCCAGTGGTAATCATGCACCCATGTGACCATGGACCAGCCAGGGACCAGCCTACTGTGTTGTGGGCCACCAGGAGATGTTGGTTATTTTGCACTTTGATGTGAGCTCAGAAAAATATTAGCCACAAGATGTTGAAATTGATTTTATGCAGAGAAAAATAATGAAAGCGATTGGGGATTCCGTTATAAGGACTAGATTTGATAACCTCTGGTGAAAAGACAGTCTACATCAAAAGGGAGGTAAATCACTAACCGAGTGTGTTCTCCCTTTTGCCAGGACACCACAGTGAGCAAGAGATAGGGGTTTTTGTTTGTTTGTTTGTTTGTTTGTTTTCTGGTTCTGGAGGTTGGACCCAGGACCCCACACATGCTGCCTAGGAGCTCTACCACTGAGCCCACATCCTGAGCCCTGAGATAAAGGCTTTTCCTCCTAAAGGTTTTCAGTCTAATAAAGGTGATAAAGGTGAAGCATATGTAAATTAGAATAGTTCTTAGTGTGTCCTATTGATTGTGAGCTTATACCAGTTATTGTCAGTCATGAGTCTTTGACCAAAGAATAATCATCAAGTCTGTCTTGACCAGGGTCTCAGCCTCAGCACTATGCACACTGGGGCCAGGGCATCCTCTGTGGTGGGTGGGCTTTCCTGTGCATTCCTCACCTCTGCCCACCAAATGACATAGTGCTCTCATTCCAGTGGGACACCCCAAAGTGTCTTCCTACATTTCCAAATGTTCCTTTGGGGAGCAATTGCCCCCAACCCAGAACTGCTGATCTAGAGATAACAAACACATCTCCATCAGCATGTGGCTGATTTTCAGCACAATACCATTGCTCAAGACGCACATCTGTGTGCCAACGCAGGAGAGGAAGGCGATTATTGTGTCTAGAGCAGTGAATGCAGTCACTTGCCACAATTTCCAATTTCCAATTGCATTCAACCAGAAAGACTGCTCCTATATTGATACTCAAGTAATAAATTAGCTTCTGAGTCAATACAAATACTGGTGTGTGTGTGTGTGTGTGTGTGTGTGCGTGTGTGTGTGTGCGTGTGTGTGTGCTGGTTTGTTTTTCATTTAGTTTTTGTCCCCTGCTTTGATTTTTAAAATTTTAGTTGGAGTATTGTTTAGAATTCCATCAAGGCAGCATATTCTGCAAGGTCACTAGGTTCCACTGAACTGTTTTACAGGTGAATAGGGCATTTGCCTCTTTTGGGGGGCAATTGAGTTAGCCCAGCAGATATCGTGCAGACACAATTGGTCCAACACACACCATTAGAAACACTGTGCTAATAACCATTTACACATTCAATGTTCAATTAAAGTCACCTGAATTAAGGCAGAGAGAGTCAACAATTTATTTTGGAGAGTTATATTTTTCATTTCAAAATTAATTTTTAATTGAAATATTTCTAAAAATAACTACCCTTTTCTAAAGTAGATCTGTTTTTTTTTTTTCCTATTCAACAGAGACTGACTATATAGAGCCTACCTCAGGTGAGTTCGTGTGATTGCTTTACGGGCCCACAGTTTCCATTACGTTAGTTGCCCAGGCAGGCAGGGAGAAGATAATAAAGGCATAAGTGGTGAGAAGGAGCAGATGGCCACACTAGGATGGTCATTGTTCACCATTTCTGATTTCCTGGGCCATTAAGATGATTCTACCATTAAGTCAAGAATGCTGTTGGGTCACCCTTTTCCTCCCAAGTAATTAGCTTCATTTTTATTTCAATCAGGAGAGTTCCAGCCATTCCCTAGTATTGCTATTACGCTGCTAAAAGCATAATTCCCACCACCATGTTAGGGGAAATCGTGGTAAATTGTTCACATTTAGCCACGTTCTTTCTCGCTCTGTGGAACTCGGGTGGCAGGGGGAGGGATGCCACCTGACTCCGGGTAGCTTGTTGCTGTCCTAACCATGACGGAATTCTCAATGCCTCTTTCTTCAGAGCATGCCGAGGAACCACTGCCAATGCCCCAAGGTAGGAAGTGTTTTATGATGAATCGCCTTTATACATCCTTCTTCTGTACAAAATTTCCCTTTGGTTTAAAACCAAAAGGGATGATGATGATGATGATGATGATGATGATGATGATGATGATCAAACCAAAATTGGAAGGGAGAATATATTACATACTTTGTACATAATGACTTCTGTTTCCTGGTGTATTAGAAAGCCAGTGAGTCCTGCAGTTAGCAGCCCAGTGGGGACATGTTCAAGACAGGCCCGAGTACCAGCCAAGGCCAAGCTTTGGGGTGAGGGAAAAATGAAAGACTTGGCAGTAAAAGGCCAGAATTTGAGTTTCATTTCTGCCACTTATTGAGTGTGACCACAGGCAAGTCATTACGCTCTTTTTTAAAGAGGGAGATAAAAACACCACTTCACGGAGGCCCATCTGGGTTGAATGAGATCACAGATGTGGAAGGATGACAAGAGTCAGACTTATTGATGTCTTTATCTTCCAAGTATCGACCTGAGAACTTTACTGCATAGCTACTGGTTGTTTAATTCTCTAATTCAGGGTACAGAAAACCTCTTCCGTTAAAAGCCACATAATAAATAGTTTGGGCGCAGGGGTCAGCTGGTGCATGGCTTTGGGCAGAGCCTTTGGGCATGATAGTAGCCATAGCAATTCATAAACTCATGGGCTTGTCTGTGTCCCGTAAGATTTCCCTACAAAGATGGGCACTGAGTTACCCTTGAACCACAGGCCTTAATGTCCTGACCTCAACCCTTGTGAATTAATTCTAAACACTTGGCATGCATGGCTTTTAACATTTTCACAAGACCCTTGTGGAGTAGGCACTTTTATAATCCCCATTTCACGGATGACAAAATGGAATCTCACACACAAAAAAAATCCACCTGCTTGCCCCAAACCGTGCAGATAGCCTGGATGCAGCAGCTGGTCTGCTACATGCTCGGTACCCTCATGCTTACAGACCTGATTCTAAAGAAGAGCAGATTCCTCCTGTTCAGTCAGTGTCTCAAGCCAGAAGAAACTAGAGCCACCCTTGCTCCTCCTCCTCCCTCACTCCACACAACCAATGCATCAGGAAATTCTCTGTCCCTACTTTCTCAATATACACTAACCCCTTAGCATCTCCCCACCCTACGTCACTGCCATCACCCAAAGCCCTCTCATCCTTCATCTGGATGATGGCAACGATTTTCTAAATGGTCATTCTGTTCTAGACCTGGCTGGTGAACTGTAAATCAGATCATCCGCCCTCACTCAAACCCCTTCCTCTTCATTGTGTTTAGAGTGGTGTCCAGTCAGTTACCGTGGACCCTCTGTCCTCATGTGACCTGACCCTGTGCACATCTCTGACCTCTGGGAAACGCCTCGTCTTGCACAGGGCCTTCCTCTGATCATTTTTGCAGCCTTTGAAAAACAAGTACTTTGCCTTGGGCCCGTGTAGGGGCTCTTCCCTCTGTTCAAAATGTGTATCTTCTCTCCCAGATTTTTTCTGGGGGTGGGGGGGTGCTCCTCTTCATCAAGTCTCAGCTAAAATGCCCCTCCCTCAGAGAGGATTCCCTGAGGGTGCAGCCAGCCCTTTCCCGTCTGGTCACCCTTCTGGTTTGCTCTTCTGTCTGACCCTGGCTTTGAATTTTCCTTCGTTCCCTGGCTCATCCCGGATCCCCTTGGCCTTCTCTCCAGGGTGTGGGTTTAGTGAGAGCAGGAACCATGCAGAGCTTTTCACCTCAGAGCCAAGGGCAGTGCTTGGTATTTAATGTGTTTAAAGTACATATTTACTGAATTTAAAAGTAGACATTTGTACAGTGTGGCTGTTGGAAACAATGTACTAGTCATTGAAGACTCAGTGGTCCTCCTTCAACAAAGGCTAACGCTTCCTTCAGGAAGATGGTGCTCACCAGGCAAGGAGGGTTCATTATACTGTAGGGTGGGGGGGTGGTTCCCTCCCTTCAAATTCTAGTAATTAGCAAAGGGTTTTGTTGGTCAGTTGGTCATTTTTCTGCTTTTTTCCATTTCATTCATACACTCACTACTCTTATATAACTATCATATGTTAAAATACATTATATGCAACATAATTATAATAATATACATACTTATGATGGTTCGGCATGATCTTTTTACTTTGTATTGTACAAAAGTAATATGCATTAGATAGAGACTGCTTTGAATTTTGGATTTGATCTTTCCCTGGTGAGCTGCAGCTCCCAGTCACACTGGGATCACAAGGGGAAGCACAGGGCACTTTCAATAAATCTTTAATATGACACTCTACAGTGTACTGAGTGGCTAACTATGAAGTTCAATAGATTAGGTGTATTAGTGCATTATATTTTGAACTTGATGTTTTCCATATTTATTGCCATTGTGATTGTACACGATGGTGGGATCTGTCTTTACATATCCACACATGCACACCACAGAACCATATGATTTGGCCCATACAGTTCCCCGGTATTTCCCCTTTGCCTCCTCTTTTCCCTCCCTCTGGTCCCTTTTCTCTACTGTACCATCATCCTTTGATTTTCATGAGATTCCCTCCCCATACACATCTTTCTTTTCCATTTTCCTCTCTAGCCTCCACATGACCCTTGACCTGAGTCTGGCAAATTTTGCTGAACATGATGGTCTCTAGTTCCATCCATTTTCCTGCAAATGACATGATTTCATTTTTCTTTATGGTTGACTAAAACTCCATGGGAATATATACCTCATTTTCTTTAGCCATTCTTTTGTTGGTGGACATCTAGGCCATTCCACAGTTTGGTCATTGTGTTCCTATGGTGTGTGGCTTGTTCTCAGCTGCCTGCATTCCAAAGAGCTGGTATCATGTGTTCAGGTTTTATCCCTACAGTGTCTTCAAATCAATCAACTCAGCAAATATTTCTGAGAGCTTGTTAAGTTCAGAGCCATGTTTCACCAGGAATTGACTGTATTTTACATTTTGTACTTTAAACCTGACATATTAAAGATTTATTGAAAGCCATTATGTAGATAAAGTAAAAGTTATTCAACTCCATTAAATAACTTATGTTTCAATTAATTTGCACCAATAGGTGATGGAAATTCAGCAACTGTATTATCAGGTAAGAGAAATATTTTTTGTGCTGTTTTCCCTGTGAATGTGTCTGTTTCACCATCTAAATACAGAAAGGAGAAGAAAGAGTGGCTGTAGAACACTGTTACTGAATGACTCATCAGAACCTCCCTCTTATAATCAGGAATTATTTTCAGGGTATCATTCTGGTAGAGTCACTAATGTCCTTCAAAAACATAAAGATGATAGCTTTTAGGTGGGTGGATAGGTAAATCAGTAAAGCAATATGGGTTGAGTCCTTTCTTTCAATATAATTGCAGGAAAAATTTCCCATGACTCTTGGTTTAGGTTGTTCTTAAAATGTTTCCATTCCATTAATTATATCCATCAGGAAGACTGCAGGATTAGAAAGATGATGGAAATATTTGGTTTATCATTTATTTACCATTCTTAATATTTGTTCAAAGACATGATTTAAATTGTTGAATAGAATTAACTATCAACTGTAAAAAATAGAGATAATAATACTTGTTTTAAAATACTGGAAATTATTTGGAACATAAGTTTTATAATTATCTTTAAGCATGAATATGACCAACTGCTCTGAGAAACTCTCTCATTTTTTATAAATGACATGTTTTAATTTGTCTCCAAAGGAAGAATTATTTGATTGCATTTATGTTTGATTATTGGATGAGCTTTCCATTGCTGCTAGAACAAATTGCCCAAACTCGATGGTTAAACAACACATGCTTTATTGTCTTGTTTTAGATGTCAGAAATCCAAAATGGGTCTTAATTATCTAAGCAATGAGCAAGTTGTCGCAGACTGTGCTCATTATGGAATCTCTGGAAAAGGAGGAGTATATTCCCTGACTTTTCCAGTTTTTACCAGCCCTTACATTCCTTGGCAAAATCTTTCATCATCAAAGCAAGAATCTTAGTGCCTTCCAATCTCTCTCTCCTGCCTCCCGCTTCTGAAGGGCCTTGTTACATTAAGCCCCCTGGGTAATCAGGATCATCTTCCCAATTTAAGGCACTGATGAGCAGCCTTATTCATCTGTAACTGAAATGCCCTTTGTCCTGTAACCTGGTGTATTCACAGCTTCTGGGATTAGGATGTGGACATGCTTGGGGGAGGGGTGACATTTTGCTTACTACATTTTTATATGAAAAATAGTCTTGTAGTTGGTATGGCTCAGAAATGGACACATCACTAAAGTCACCCATTGAAATATGATGGCCCAAACAGCAAGTAGAGAGAAGAAAGGTGTGGGACAATACCGCCATCTAACCGAGCTGGTGACCTGAGCTGGGTTCACAAGAGCTGGCTGCACCAATAACTTAAGAAAATGGCGAAAGAAACACTCAACACACAGAAATACCTTTTGCTTATAGGAATCAGGGACGGCTCTCAACCTTGAGGGTCTGCTGGAAAGAAAGAGAAGCCACCTGAAAATCCTCTATTTATTGGGGAGAAAGTTCAACCCAAATAAGGCAAGGGATTGGGTTTCGGTGGGGTTGCTTGGCGATGTCCTGCAGTCAGCAGATTTGACCGGACATCTCAGAAAGCCACGCCCATCTTAGGTGCTGTGTGGGATCAAAGGCAGAGGGATCAAAAAGTCCAGTCAGATCAGCAACGTCAGTCCAGTCCCCTCGTGTGCTCGAGTACTCACGGCTCACACACACAGCCCCTGGCTGGCTCGCGACAGTGCAAGAAAGGGAGCAGGTGCCCAAGTCAACACAAAGATAAGCAGAGAGCCATTGCTGTCATTTCTTTCCTCTGTCAAGGTTCCTTACAGGGAGTGTAAGTAACTCCCATGGCCAGATATGTCATGGGGACAGTCTGGAGCACAGGAGAGAAGGCGGAGCACCTGCCAACAGTGCACCACCTACAAACCCCGGGATGCCTGCACACAGTGCCCTACCTACCAACTGCACTCCTCCCACAACTGCGCCCCATGTACAAAATAGTGCAACAACCATAATCAGTTCATCACCTACATCCATGAAAGAGTAAAACACCTACAACAATTCAACACTTAGAAACTGGTGCAACACCTACAAACTGGAACAGCAATTGCAAATAGTACTACACCTACAAACAGAGCAACACCTACTAATCAGAAACGTCAGTGATGCAACAGGCGCAGAAGTCAAATAAGCAGAACAAGCAGATAGAAGGGTCAGGGGACCCTGAAGGCCGGGACCATCAGGCTGACAGTCAGGGAGAATATTAATACCCAAAGCACCTGATCTTTACCACAAAGCACTGAATACCTGCCCTTCGATTCCATGTCTGGCAGAGACGGGATGGAGAATACTGAGTCCAGTGGCTAAGAGGTGGCTTGGCATTTCCATTGCTTATGTGTGGTCACTTTGGAGTGGAGACAAACTACATCTAGTGAAGTCACCGGGAGCCCTGGGTGCCACACCTCCCTCCAGTGGCTGTAAGCAGTAACTTACTGTTAACAGGTGTTTCTTTCTTCCAGTTCTACCTGTTGCCCTCTCAACGCAGCTTCCTCCTATAACTGCTGCAAGTCCAACATCACCAGGTAGGACCCTCCCACCCTGCCATTTCCATTTCTACCATAGCTCCTCAGCTGCAGGTAGTGGTTTTGCCACCGTCACTCGGTACCTGTAATGCTTCATTCAAGATTGGGAGACTTGAGAAAAAAGGGATGAGATGATCTGCAATTCACTGTCCAGATTCACCTTATAATTGATTATCTATAATTTTACTGTCAGAGAACATGGTAACTCAAGGTTTCTCCTTTCACATGCTTTCACAAATGCAAAGGGTAAGAAGGAAAGAGGTTGGTGTATATGTAGAAAAAGGGAATTGACTTAGTTATTTTGAACTTAAGAAACAAAGTAGAGCCTCCGCCTAATGTCTGGGAAACGTCCAACATGGTAAGATTTAGTTATTTTCCCAAACTGGTGAGTCTCGTGGAGAAGGCACAGCCCTTCCTGGTCACGGTGAGCAGTGGTCACCATTACAGTCCATGTTCACTTTACCCTTGTGCTAGTTAATGCTGTCTCCACTCCTCCCCCATCTGTAACAGCTGACATTTCAACTAAACCATTGTATAATCCACAGTCTGACCACGCCAATGACAATCTTCAGTAAGCCTGCTGCCTGCAGCATTCATGTGGCTTCTGAGCACAAGTGGGAACTGAGATGTGCTGCGTGGGTCAGATACACACGGGATCTTTCAAATACTGAGGGCAGTGGGCAGCTGCTGCTCAATGGCGTGAAGCTTCAGCCATGCAAGATGCATAAGTGCTAGAGATCTGCAGTCAATAGTGCCCACAGCCTATCTATCTCCTGCACTTAGAGATTTGCTAAGGGGGTAGATCCCAGTGAGTGCTCTTACTACACACACAGAAGAAATACATGGAAACTTGGAAGAGAAGGGTATGTGTATTTCCTTGATTATGGTGACGGCACCACCTTTATATACCTATGTCCAGAGTCATCCAATTGTATACATTAAACATCTGTAGGGTTTTGTTATATCAATTACACCTCAGTTATGTTGGTTTTTAAAAAAAAAAACAACTTAGTACTATAAAAAGAATGTGAAATTGTTCATTGACATTTTTATATTGATTACATATTGAAATGATAATTTTTTGGTATATTGAATTAAGATGTATTATTAAAACTAATTTCACTCGTTTCTTTTCCCTTTTTAAAAGGTAGTTACCAGAAAACTTTAAACTACATACAAAACTCTGGCTTAATTTCCATTAAAAACCTTCGCGTTATGCCACTATAATCACTGTGTTAAATGCAGCGTGTTGATTTCTTATCTAATTCTTCCAACAGCAGATGAGGGTAATCTCCATTTCTAAATAGAGAGAATCCTGCTCAACTAGGTTAGGTATTGTCCCTAAGGTTGATGGACAATAACACAAACCATGGGACTTGAGAGTCCTAGAGCCCAGTCGCTAAAGTTTCCTAAACTCCCTGAACCACGTTAAAATCCTGTTACCTACTGAGCAGGTGAAGAGGCATGTTCCCTATTCAGAAACCAAGAGGACCCACGTGTGTCGAGGAAAGCTGAGTGGGCGGTTGTGTGGCCGGAGCCTGTGTTTCCCTTTCTCACTCTTGCACTTCCTTCTCCCAGACGCTTGTGTGGTTGCACAGAAGGTGGCACAGCTCTGAGCTGACCTCGCTTTTAACTCTTGTTCCTGTCTCAGACAGTCACATAGGATCTGTCGTTTCTCCAAAGACTGTTGTCAGCTTCTTGCGGCAGAATCCATCTTTCTCACCTTTGACTTTGTCCCCAGCCCCAGACACACACACACACTCACACACGCACACACGCACACACACACCAGGCATACGGAGTCCCAAGAACAGTGTCTGTGTGTCTGCTCCCTGAGGGGCATTCAATGCTTATTAAATGAATAATCACACAGATGCGAATCCACCTTATACACATGGCGGAGAGCCTGCAGCGCCGTCTGTGCTAAGTGAGGGAGTCTTCGGCCCCCTGGTGCGTCCTGTGCAATGGGCTTCTGCTCCCAGGCTGCAGAGCGGGTGAAGAGACATGGTGCTGCTGCTCCTCCCACTCGTCCCCCAGATGAGCAGTCACCAGCCTGCTTTCTCCTTCTGTGTTTTTACCTATTCTGAATATTTCATAAATCTGGAATCAATATGTGACGATGCTTTGACACCTGGCACGTTTTCACAGCTGCTGGTTCCTTTTTAAAGTTCTCCATTTTGCTTGTAAAGAGGGGATCGAACTCTCCTGGGGACGTGAGGCCGATGAAGAGGGCCCTCGTCTTTCTCTTCAACCCTGAATTCCAGGAGCCACTTTCCCCGTGTTCTTTCTCAACAGCTGTGTCAACCTCCTCCGTCCCAAAAGATGTGGACCACCCAGCCACGTCATCAGGTAGGTCAGTGAGCTACGAGTTCCCAAAAGCTGGTGTGATGTATTGTCAATGCCACATGCAGCAGGCCAAGCCCCTAAAAGGAAGAGCTGATTCTCACTGCCAAGGGATCAGGGAGAACGTGTGACACCCAGTGTCACCTGCAGCTCCAGACTTTGACCCAGGGGGTGAGCGTGCCACCTGTCCTGCTCATCACTGTATCCTTGGCACCTGCCACAGCACTGGGCACATTCTAGGCACTGAACAAATGACGTGTGTGCACTGGGCATGTGACTCCTCTCAGAGCAGCTTTGCTCTTGGCCAAAGGTATCGCAGATACCTGCACTTGAGAGACACAGGCTTCGCTCTGAGCAATGCCAGTAGCCCCATCTCTCTCTCCTCAGAGGAAAGTGTTGGTATTTCACACATGAGCAAACTCACAAAGCCAGATGCCTCTGACAAATATATATTTTTTATGTTTCCCTCTGAGCAGACAATGGAAAGCTGCCAACTGTCTTATCAGGTGAGAGCAGCGACCCCACGGTGGGTCTTGCTGTGGCTCAGCCTCATCATCCAGGTGGATGTGCAGGCAAATGGATCACTGGGATGTACAACATCCTCTGGGGGCTCATCAAGGACAATCAGCTTCCTTGTGAATATTATGAATTTTACAACTTCTGCCCAATTCCTTTTTTTTTTTTTTTGGTACTGAGGATTGAACTCAGAGGCATTCAATCACTGAGCTGCATCCCCACCCTATTTTGTATTTTATTTTGAGACAGGGTCTCTCTGAGTTGCTTTGTGCCTCACCATTGCTGAGGCTGGCTTTGAAGTCATGATCCTCCTGCCTCACCCTCCTGAGCTGTTGGGATTACAGAAGTGTGCCACCATGCCCGGCTACTTCTGCCAAATTCTTCAGTGACTTATCTTGCTACTGCCAAGCACCCTCTTGCAGAACCTATTGCTGATGCAGGGCTAACGGGGTGAAGGCACTGAGCAGCAGGTTCTGGCTTAGGAGCTCTCTGTCAGCTCCCTGACCTTAGCTCCAGCTCATCAGAAATCTGGCCAGTGCAGATATTTGAGTTAAGGTGTAGCCCAGGGGGCTCTTCCCCAGTTGCTAGTTGAGTCCTTTTCTGACGTGTCCTGTGTCTGTCTCAGGAAAAGGACTTTGGTCCTCACTAACCGCCATTTCCACATCATTCCAGTTCTACCTGTGGCCGACCCAGCCCCTGCTGATCGCAGAGCCAATATACCAGCGTTAGGTCCCCCAGGTAAGCAGCCTTCCCCAGGGACCAGCCACTGCTCTTGTGAACTACAGAGAGGGGTCATAACCAGGAAGGAGCCTGGGGAGTGGTCGGCTGGAGGCCACTGAGGGTGCAGGGAGAGCTCTGTAGGGATGGGAGGAGGGCCACCAACCTCCAGACCTGGGCTGATGAGTTGGTCCTGCCCACAGCTTTGGCATCTGCTCATCTCCGCATTCCTGCTACACCAGGGAAACATCAAAAAATAAGAGCAGGTAACCATAGCGCCTTTACCTAACAGGACCAAAGCTTACGTTTTGTCATGCTGGTTTTCCATTCGTATCAAGAAAGGAAACAATACAAACTCCCCCAGGGCTGGGGATGCATGTCATGGTAGGTGCTTGTCCAGCATGTGCAAGGCCCAGGTTCTATTCCAGCACTGAAAAAGTAACAATTTTTAAAGATTAAAAAAGGTACTTTGGATTAGGCAGAGGGGAGTGAAGGGAGGGGAGGAGGTATGGGGGTAGAAGGGGTAGGAGAATGAATCAGACATTATTACCCTATGTGCACATATGATTACACAACCAGTGTGATTCACATCATGTACAACCAGACGAATGAGAAGTTCTACTCCATTTATGTATGATGTGTCAAAATGCATTCTGGTGTCATGTATGACTAATTGGAACAGATAAAACAATTAAAAAAAATATGGAACTCTCAATATCTGCAATCTGCCTCTCCTCTCTCCTTCCTCATAGACAAATGCTGTCTTGCATTTTGCATATATCCTTCTTTTTAAAATCTCACAAATATGAATTAATGCTTTCCATATATGTTATTTTGTGTTTTTTCTTTCACACAAATTATATTAGTCTCTCTATATCATGCATTATATTTTTTAGGTGAATCCTTTTGTTGTTTGTGGTGTGTGTGTGTGTGTGTGTGTGTGTGTGTGTGTGAGAGAGAGAGAGAGAGACTGCTCTTGACTGCTCCAGAATATTTCATTTTTTTTGGAATATACCATTTAATTTAATTCATTGAAGAGAAAAAACATTTTCCTAAATTTTCCTGTCCACCCCGGCTGACGTCAAGTTGCGAAGCCCCATGTAGGAGAAGATGCTGTCTGCCACTTGATCTGCTTTGTTTAGTGACTAACAGCACCTTGTGTTGTGGCGTGATTGTCAAACCTTCTGTCCAGCCGTGGCCTGCACACCTAGGATGACTGAAGGGCTCGCCTTGATTTGTAAGCCAAGCAAACAAGGTGAGTTCAAAAGGTAAGTTTCCAACACTTACTCTTATTTTCGTCTCCACAGAGGACTGGCCTAAGCTGAGGCTGGTTAACGGCACAGGAAGATGCTCTGGACGGGTAGAGGTTTCCTACCAGGGCACCTGGGGGACAGTCTGTGACGAAGGCTGGGGCTTGCCGGAAGCGCAGGTGGTGTGCAGACAGCTTGGGTGCGGCCAGGCCGTATCTGCCCCTCTCGGCTCCCATTTTGGCCCAGGCTTTGGAAAGATCCTGCTGGACAATGTGCGCTGCGTTGGCACGGAGAGCCGCCTGGCCCTGTGTACCCACAACAGCTGGTTCACGCACGACTGTGGCCATGAGAAGGACGCCGGGGCCATCTGCTCTGGTGAGGACTTCTTCCTTCTAAATAGTTCGTGGGCAGAACAGGTTCGTGGCTTTTTCTGGGAGGACCCCTCCCCTCTCCCCACACTAACAGGTCTAGACCAAAGGGCAGGCCCCTCCCTCCAGGGCAGACTTTCCCCTGGGTCCCGTCCCACATCTGTTTAGCACTGAGTATCTGTGTGGTGGAAACGGGGGGAAATGAGCCTGTGGGGTGGAGCTTTAAGCGGTTGCAGAGATGATGGGTGGTCCACCCCCACCTGAAGCCTAGAGGTGACTCCCCAACAGGTAGACTCAGAACCCAGCTCAGCACGGAGCTTGCTGTCTGTGGGGCCTCCTTCTCAAGATACCTGCTAATCCTGGCCTGAATGCCCCTCCTGGGCAGCTGCCCTGGGTAGATCCTGGTCATAATTGGGGTGAGGCTCCTCAGAAAGCTCCACACTGAAGGGGACATCAGTGAAGAGGAAGTGGGGGACTCTAGCTCTCAGTGCCCAGTCCCCAGGCACAGAACCTTCCCCAAGCAGAATTTGGTCACCAGGCAGCTGCCAGCAAGACTGGCCTGTGGTCATTCAAGGACTGCGACTGAGAGTCCTCGCTCAGGGTACACTCTGTGGTGACTAAGCCCATCACCCGTCACTAAGCACCTATTTGAGGGAAGGTCGCCATCTATTTTCCGGAGTGGTTAGGTCAGAAAGCCATCCCTCTGGTGCCTGTAGAAGCTGACCCTTCCTAACTGACAAAGGAATGGCAGCAGTTGAAGCGTTCAGACGTGTGACTGCAGAGGAGCTCTGCCCCTCGGGAATACCGTGGGTCCATTTCAGCCCTTCTTTCGTATCCTGCAGCAGGGTTTTGAACCTGTGTTTTGCACCAAAATCACCTACGGGTTTATTGAAACAGACTGCTGGGCCCACCCCTCAGGGGTTGGAGTCAGTCCTTCTAGGATGGGGTACGGGAATTTGCACTTCTGACAAGTCTAAGATGCTTATGGGGTGGTCCAGGGGCCACTCTGAGAATCGCTGTCATAAAGCACGATTTAAGAGGAACATTTTTATCCCAATAAATAGATGCAGAATTAGCACAGTCGTCGTCTTCATCACCGCCCTCCTCCTCATCTTCACCATCACGGTCCTCACCACCACAGTCATCGTCCTCAGCTTCACCATCG